ATTGACCTTTCTCTGAATTTCATAATTAGCCAGTAATTAGCTAGTTACGCCCTAAAGAATGAGGATGAGGTGTCTCTTCCCTATCTCTGTTAATGTTTTTCTAACTCTCTGTCTCTTCCTCTAGAATATCAGGGATGACGGCCAGCACGACAAACTACCTGTGGTCTCTGCAGGACGTCCTCGGTCAGGGGGCTACTGCCAGTGTATTCAAAGCACGGAACAAGGTTGGCCAAGCCAATGATATATTTGATCATAGAAAAAACACTGTTAAGTTTGTTTTTCGCTGAGCAGCTCTTTCACTTCACTGCTGCCATCCTCTCAGATGTTTTCAGTCCACCTTTGGTTCAATCACGACTCCAGGATGTAATGTAATAGCAGAAGGTGGTTGCGTGGGCTGTTTTTGACATTCTCCATGATGCTTTGTGTGTGTGGTATGCTGACGTAAACGTGTGTGTTTGTGCAGAGGTCCGGTGAGCTGGTAGCTGTCAAGGTGTTCAACATGATGAGCTACAACCGCCCTCATGAGGTCCAGATGAGAGAGTTTGAGGTGCTGAGGAAGCTCAACCACAGCACTATTGTCAAGCTGTACGCTGTGGAGGAGGTGAGGCTGCAGCTAGAGGAGGAGAAAACCAAAGCAAGGACAAATGAAGAGGACAGATATGGTCATAGGAGGAGACAAAATAGTATTATCTTTCTTGGGCTGCATCAACACCACAACCCTTCCCTTTGAAAATAATGTTTTGAAACTGAAACTTTCTCTGTCCACACAAGATTTTTTGCTCAATATCTGTTTTAATCCCCTTTAAAGCATAGTCACATTTATGAGAATGTTGCAGAGGCAAACCTTCTAATCTGTGTCAGCTAGGAGGTGAAATAAAAAAATGTTCACATCCTACGGTAAAGCAATTCTTGGTTCCTGCAATCTATGCTTTGTATTCTCGTTTGTGTGACTGGGCACTGATGCCAGTTGTTTCGTTCAGGAAGAGGGTCATTTGATAGGAGCCTGACGTATCAGCAAACGCTGTGTCGTGACAGAAAACACCCAATGAATCAGCAAGCGGTTTTGAGTGTCCACATCATAGTTTACTGAAATGGGACAAGCTGTGTTTCCAAACTTTGTTTTAGTGGCTCTAAAGTTAGTTTATGTGTTAAGTGAAATGGATGTAGTCTTTGTCATACGCTGTTTGTTGCTGGAATCTACGGTTATCCTAGTCAGCCAATTCAAAATAAAGGTTCAGTTAACTCAAAGAATCCAAAAATAACCTTATAGGAAGATTTCATTATTTATCTTTTATGGAAATGAGAGAAAGACTTTCCATTAATTTTATAATGTTTACAATATAGATAACAATTACTTCATTATCCTCCCTCCCCTCTCTCGCTAGCTGCCCTCTAAGCAGAAGGTGCTGGTGATGGAGTATTGTTCTGGAGGGAGTTTGCTCAGCCTGCTGGAGGAGCCTGAAAATGCCTTTGGCCTGCCAGAAACAGAGTTCCTCACTGTACTGGAGTGTGTAGGTGGGTGGCTGTATCTGATGCTGCTGAATAGTTTCATGTACCTGTTGTTGGAAGTATTCCTCTCTCTGTTCTCCTCAGTGCAGGGGATGAACCACCTGCGTGAAAATGGAGTGGTACACCGGGACATTAAGCCGGGTAACATCATGAGGCAAGTCGGGGAGGACAGGAAGTCTGTTTACAAGCTGACAGACTTTGGAGCAGCAAGAGAGCTGGATGATGATGAGAAGTTTATGTCCATCTATGGGACTGAAGAGTACCTGGTATGTTCTATGAATACAGACTTATTAGGTTTATCATAAGAATCCTGTACATAAGCTATGCAGGCAGTGACGCAGAATACTTCAGCAAAGGCTGCAATGTCCTTTACAGTTCGGGGTCATCTAAGTGTATTAAGAATAATCTAGATCGATCACAATTTTGTTAGTATTTTCTGGAACTTTTCCTGCCAGCCCCTTGGTAAGATGTACCGTCAAAATTCCCATTTCCTCTTGAAGAAACCCTAAAAACGTATAGGAATAGTGTGAAAACATCCCTGATCTCCTCAAAGAGACCAGACATGTTGCAAAAATCAGCTTTAATTTTACAGTAGGATTATGCTCTATTAGATTATAAACATATTTTTTACCAACATATGAGTATCCAATGGCTGTTGTATAACAGGTTCTTTTCTGTATGTGTGTGGCTAGCATCCAGACATGTATGAGCGTGCTGTGCTCCGCAAGCATCATCAGAAATCCTATGGAGTGAATGTGGACCTGTGGAGTATTGGTGTGACATTTTACCATGCTGCCACTGGGAGTCTTCCCTTCACACCGTATGAAGGACCCCGCAGGAACAAGCCCACCATGTGAGTTCATACAAACAAAATCATTGACTACACAGTTCTGATTGCAACCCCACATCCTAACGGTGCATGGCAGTTTCAATTTGTACTTATTTATATGAACATATGACACTGAGATTGGTCTAAAACTACTTAAGCCAAGGTCTATATTGATGTTGTAAAGCTGTGGTAATAACATTTTACAGATTTAATTGTGTAGAATTTACCTCTAAAGAAATATATTAATTTGATAATATTTCTCCAAGGATGAAGATCCATCGATGGTAAATGAGCTTGACGTCTGTTTTGTTGTGTAGGTACAAAATAACGACAGAGAAACCAATGAGTGCAATAGCAGGGATTCAGCGTGTGGAGGGAGGACCTATAGAGTGGAGCTACCACCTACCTCACAGCTGCCAACTGTCCCAGTATGTCACTTAACAAAGACCTTTTTAAATGCGTCAATGATTTTAATGAAAACATAATGCTATTTTTTTTTCTTGACTGCCTCCCTTTGTTTCTCTCCTGTCCCTCTCTGTCTGTTTGTCTGTCTACAGGGGTCTGCAGGCGCAGCTAGTTCCAGTATTAGCAGGTGTACTGGAGGCTGACCAGGAGAGGTGTTGGGGTTTTGACCAGTTCTTCACAGCCACCACAGACATATTGCAGCGGCAGACAGTTCACCTCTTCTCTCTGCAGCAGGCCATGGCTCATAGTATCTACATACACCACTACAATACGTACGTCAGCACAGGTGTCATCACACTCGATCAAGCACAAAGAAAACCGACCACAGGATTGCTTAAATCATAACAGACTTTAATAAAACCAAGCATCAGACTGTGCTGCAACTTTAAGAGTCAGGGAACCCTTTAACTTGTGAGGTCCTGTGTTATTTTTCTACAAAACTAATATTTCAAACAGCTGAATTCTACCCATGTGTGTCCTGATATCAGTTTTAATTGTTATGGACCATTGAATAGTACACATAGTCGTCAATAACACATGAGTGCAAGGGGACTTAATCAAAGTGTATCCATGTAGATGTGGTGGTGCATGGTCAAGTCACCATCTACATGACATATTCAGTTGATGACTCCTTCAACAACTGCAACATAAAATTTGCGCTTGATGTGTGCAGCAGTTGCATAGTAATATTTCCTGCATTATTCTAAATCACACTTTTAATGTGATTTTGAAAGTCAAGTCTGTACTGAGCTCTGAGCTGATTATATCTGTAATCCTAAATTGCTTGTATCAAGACTCTGCCTCTCAATAAAATGAATCCCTGTGGCAGACTTGAGTTGAGTTATGGCTATAGATAATTTGGTTTGGTTGTTTAGTTGTGAACAGGGAATTAATTCTCCCCTCCTCCCACCCAGAGTGTCTGTCTTCTTTGAGGAGGTGGCATCTCAGACTGGTATGGGGGTTCAGCAGCAACATCTACTGTACCTGGGGCATGACCTCTCTCTGGAGGGCACCATGAAGGTCGTCAACCTCCCGCGAACCTCACTTACCCGGCCCCTCATTCTGCTCAGCTACGAGCCTGAAGCAAACATCTGCCTGCCTTTCAGAGAACGTAAGATCATCACAGACATGTACATCTTTTCATGCCTGTGTTAAGTCAAAGAGTTTCCTCTTTATTCTTTGTTGCTCCCCTGGGGATTTATGAAAAAGCTCTGATATCAGGTGTATTCTAGTGTCACATTCATTTACTCAACACATAATATCTTTATGAATCACCTGTTATAGTCACGTTTTACTCAGTAACAATTGATAACATTGAAGATGAGTGGATGATGGTTGATTTAAAAAGCAAAATAATCATATTAAACACAATATGTGCACGCAATTCCTAATACCAGTTTATACACATGCATACACACAGTTTCTATAAATCTCTAATACCTCTTCATGGCAGAACTTGTCATGCCACCACGGAAACACTGTACAATGAAAACTCACAGTTTCCACAATGAGTCATCATCCACGTCTTGAAGGTTTGCTGTCTAAGTATGATGTGGTCAACGTGCTCTCTTCTCTCCACTGTAGCAGAGACTCCTGTCATCCCATCCAGGTTTGATGTCATGGCAGACTACAATTTTTCTAAGGTACTGATGTTTCAATCCCTCACTATTGCTTTATAATAATAATATTATAATACATGCCTAATTTTGATCATTTTTATATGGATTGTATGTATTATAAATCTAAATCTGTTTATATTTCTAGGTGATAGTAGGAGTGGTCCACCAGTATCTGAGGATAGTACAGTTGCTGCACACACACCAAGACCTTCTCCTGCAGGGATACCACAGCTACATGTGAGAAAACACTCATGTTAAAATAACTATATTTGTTTCATTGATTTTTATGCCTCTCCTCCAGCGACAGCCAGTGGCCTGAGGCAGTATGTTTTCAGGTTGTCCGTCCTTCCTATTCTTGTGAATGCGATATCTCAAGAATGCCTTGAGGGAATATCTTAAAATTTGGTACAAATATTCACTTGGACTCAAGGATGAACTGATTAGATTTTGGTGGTCAGAGGTCAAAGGTCAAGGTCACAGTGACCTCACAAAGCAGATTTTTGCCTTGTGAAGGTGATATCTCCTGAACCCTGTAAAGGAATCATTTCACATTTGGCACAAACACTCACTTGGCCTCTTGAATGTGTTATCTCAAGACTGCTTGAGGGAATTTTGATCAGTTGTCATTTGGACTCAAAGATATGGTGATTATGTTTCAGTTGTCAAAGTTCACAGTGACCTTCTATGAATCTGGGGAAAAAAGTATGTAGAAGTATGTACATGGAAACTGCACTGGTTGGCAGAGGAATACAGCCGCAGTGCGGTAATTCTAGTTTTACCCTGGGTAATGACCATTTTTAAATTCTTATCTGCTTTAATCCTCTTTTCATTCCTCCGCAGGATGAGGTTACGCAGGGAGTGTGGAGAATCCATTCACAGTATCGACAAGATCACCATTAGGCTGAAGTCCTGCCTCAATCTACAACACAGAATTCAAACAATGTCAGTTAGTCAACATACTTTCTGAGCTAAAACCTGTAGACTTTTATCACTTTTTGTCACATCTGAGGTGGGAAGTCCTTCCACAATAAATGCAATCTAAAATAATTTTTACAAGTGTAGTGACATACCGGTACAATCATTTGATGGTAAGAAAACTGGGCCACCAACAAAATCATCCTCTATTGGCATAACTCTATTATTTTGAGCATAATTCATTCTCAAAAATTTGAAACAAATCCCACAATTAAAATCATAAAGATAAAATTGAAGCATTATATTTTTATCATTAAACCTTTCTATTGCTGCTTTATTATCGTTATTGTGAATTATTTTGGTCACAATAATCATTCAGTAAGACTCTGATATCATGACAGCTCTAATAAAAGTCATAACCTCCTTTTTTTCTCCACCTTTATCTGTTGTTCTTCTCAGTGACCATCACTTTTCAGAAAACCAAGGCTCGGATGATCATAGTCAGAAACTGCAGCTGGTGAGTGTGACATCACTGAGAGAAGCTGGAGTGATGTGGTTGTTCTGTGAGCATATATATATATATATATATATATATATATATATAAAGAGAGAGAGAGTGTTCTATTTAGTTGTAGAGAGGTGTAGTCATTGAGGAAGCTGTAATCTGTGATACTGTTCATACTTGTGTTATTCAGGTTTTTCAGGTTCTCCTTGCTGCTTATTTTTTAAATTTTCTTATTTGTTTTTCTGGAAATGTTATGACTTTTCTCATTAAATTATGACTCTGCTCTTGTTGACCTTTCTTTTATATGGAACTAATAATTTGTCAGATTGTACTATACTGAAGTTGAAAAAAAATGACTTGAATCTTGCCTTCATATCATAGCAACCATGCAAAAACCTTAAATCACTAAGAAACCACGTTCACTGGGTGTTTTCTCTTGTCCAGTTGCAATATCATCAGGATAAGGAAACATGTCAAGATTAGGTGGCAGACATGTGATATTGAATCAGCAGTAATGAGAGTGTGTTGCCGTTCTCTCCAGGTCCATGAGTACCTGCCCATATACACTGGGAGCATCCAAGAGTTCCAGAAGCGACTGGACCAGCTGCAGATAGAACAGGCCAAGCTAGCAGAGAACCTGGCCAATGACAAGAGGTAAGCTGCAGACCAGAGAATCTAAATTTCAAGTTTTTGATTCAAATGTGTGTTTTTCTTTAAACTTTGACCTCTTGTCTCCTACAGCTGTCAGAAGATGGAGATGCTGCTGCAGAAAATAACAGCAATTCATCAACATTATCGCAAAGACAGACTCACTGGCAGTATGTGTGCTTCATTTTTCTTCCACGACAAAGTCAGAGGCATTATTTTTTCAGCTTGACCGTCTGTCGTGAAACACGTAATACTGTCTCATCTTGAGAACCCCTTGAGGGAATTTCTTCAAATTTGGTACAAATGTTGATCTGAACTCATAAAATTTGGTGCTATCTCAAGTTTGCCTTAGGGGATTTTTTCTGGGTAGATTTCAGTGGTCAAAGGTCTCAGGGACCTCATGTTACTGTGAATGCAATATGTTGGTGGAGGCACACAACGGCAGGGTGGTAATTTTAGTTTTGATATACACTGTATATTTATTACTTAATTTGTTCATGGTATGACTGATTCTTTTATATTTGTCTTATTTTTCACCACAGAGTTGGCATATAATGACGAACAAATACACAAGTTTGAGAAGTAAGTATGTCATTGTCAATTTGTGTCCTGCTCACCCGGCCCATGAGGGTGTTCCTGTGATTTCCCCCTGTAATCTGCTTGTCACTCTTGCTTCCCAGAATCCACCTGTCTTCCCACATTAAGAGAGCGAAATCTCTCCTGAGAGACGACTGTGTGCAGAGATACAAGGAGCTTCTGGCCTCAATAAGGACGTGGAGCAGGTGGTTCTCAGCTCACATATCTAAACCCAGTGTAACATTCACTTAGGTTTTGTTATGCCAACAGCTCTGGGACTATTTACAGTACGATCACTATTTGGTGCCAGCCATTCACACACATGAAGAAGATTAACCCAGTAGGACATTACATAGCAGTCTCACTCTAACAGATGAAGTTGCTTGTCTGCGTTATTGAGGCTTGCATTCGTAAAGCAAGTGATGTAGATATAAAATATCATTCAATATAATTATTGAATTCCTCTCAGTTTTGCACAGACAGAGTAGTTTTATGTAATAGATAAAACAGACTGTTTTCTTTCCTCGGAATTTCAGGATGTATTATAGGTCACTCTGAACACATATTTCCTTCTGTGTTATTAATATAAATACTGTTTAACTGATGCACATGAATGGATATTTAGTTTTCTCTGACTCTGTAAGAAGAGCCATTCAAATATCACCTACACTAAGTGTTATATTGCACATTGAAACAAACATACAATTGTTCTAAGGTTACACAACCAACAATTGTTCTAAGGTTGCGACAAAGACTTCATAAATACCTAAGACACAGGTAAATTAAGACTTTTACCACAGTATATTTTAAAGATTTCTGGATAATTGTTGAAATAATTGAACAACAAATGATTACTATTAACATGTTATTCATGTTTTCTTTCAACATTTTTTTCTATTATAGAATTGGCCCTGAGGCCTCATAAATGTCATTGTTTCACAACAAATTCAACTGGGTATCACTTTAACAGTTTTACCAATTGGTTTTCTTTTCTGATTTGGATTCAACTAGATATTAACACAATGAACATTGCAGCTTTGACTTACTAGTGTGTCTCTGCCTTTATGTGCAGTGTGTTACTGGAGATGCAGACCCGACTGCACGACTTCAAAGCTTTCTCCACGGGCTTGCTGACGGATCTGGACATGAGTGAAGAGCGCCAGAATAAGGTCAGATTTTCACTTCTCATCCCGTATTTGAAAGTGAGAACATGAAGCTTATAGATTTACGTCTCTGCCCGCATGTGAACATGAATTTTGTGCTTTTTGTTTACAATTGTGTGTTTTTCATCTTAGTCTCATCTGTCGTCCTCAGATTCTGGACAAAGTCCTTTTCAGTCTGCAGTCCAGGAGAGCAGAGCAGCCGCCTGGAACACCCAGGGACCAGATGGTCTCCAGGTGTGTGTGTGTGTGTTTACATGTGCTATTACTAGGTATTACTTACATTCAGGGGACCTAGATCTGTTCACACTGTCACATTTTAGGAAAAATACATCCAACCCACCTAAATGTTACAGATTCTGAGATAAAGACTTGTTTTAATTTTAGGGTAAGAGTTAGCGTTAGGTGTGTGTGTGTGATTACCTCTTTATTATCTTTTTCAGTAGAAACACAGACTTTGTCAGGACCAATAGACCTCATGGGAACCAAAGCCCGGTCCTTATGAGGAAAAACATCATTTCTGAGGTTTGGGTTAGGGGCAAGGTTTTGGTTAGGCTGTCCACAATGAATGGAAGTCAATAGTAGTCCTAACAAGGATAATTGTGCAAACCTGTGTGTGTGGGCTCACGATTTAGACATTTGCCATGATCTCAGATATCTTGCTTTTTTTGTAGGATGCACCTTCTGAAGGAGGAAATGGAGATTCTGGTGAGAGAACTACAGTGTAACAACAACATCATAGAGAGGTCAGTTGAGAGCCCTGTAAAAAAACTCACAGCCCCATGTACAGTACGTTCTGAATGATGATTTAATGTGTTTTGTCCTGTTAGTTTGGGAGCAGTGAACCCTGCAGCAGGTCTGGAGCCGAGCTTGACCAGACCCTCTACACTTTGACCAAAGTGCAGCATGTTTGCATGTAAACTCACAAATCAGTTTTTTTATGAGCAGTAAAGGACAATGTACTGGAAATCCTTTCAAGGACCGCCTGCAGTTTATGGTGTATATAGAGGAGGCAGCTGAAGATAATCAATAAGAGGGGAATCTCAATTTAAAGATAAGATGCTTTGAATGTAGGAAGAGGAAATGTTATCGACAGATTTCTGTCTGTCTGTCTGTCTGACTGTCTGTCTGTCTGTCTGTCTGTCTGTCTGTCTGT